AAGAAATTATGTAGCAGCTTCAGGCCGGAGCGATTACGGTAAGCCTCGTTGAGCTCGACGGTGACGGCAGATGACGTCATATTCTGAAGACGGTGAGGGCAGTGAAGGAGGGCCTGCTTCTGCTTATGGGGGGACACCTAAGGAATATTCTAACATTCATAACAACGGCATCCTGTGCGAAGAAAAATTTGATGATGTGCGCCATAGGCAAAGTGACTCTTTTTTTGCCCCCCCCCCTGTATATTTACATAGCTTATGCGTATTGGCACGTTTAATGTGAAGAGGTGGTTAGCCGATATTGCCAGTGAACCACGAGGCTTAAAGCAGAAGATATCATAGTTTTCGAGTTGTTTTGTTTGTTAAGAAGTTCAGGACCATCTCATTTTCTAGGTTGGGTGAAATGCACGAAAACCAGTTTGTAAACAACCCAGTTTTTAATTTTGGGGTAGGATTAATCTATTAGGTTGGTCCATAAGTCTTGCAACAAACTGGCCGAATTTTGATTTTAATATTTTTATTATCTTTTTGTTCCATTCATCCAGCATGCTACCCACCATCAATATCTACAACCTATTGCCAACGCACTAGTAGCTGTTCGATGCCTCTCTTGTAGAACTCTACTGAATTCTGATCGAAGAAAGATCAGATGTCGATTTTGGACGTGGTCTGGGAAGGTGAGCAGGTGTCATCCTTTGGCTCGAGGTCGGAGCTATAAGGTGGATACGGAAAGAACTCTCCGTCCGAGAGTCCAAAATTTTCCTGGATTTTCTTAGCAAGAGGTGGTTCAACGGTGTCATAAAAAAGCAAACTTTGCCTTGCTTTTCTTTCGTATTAAAAGCGTTGCAATCGAGCTGTGGACGGTTGACTTCCGCGTTGACTGCGACATCTACACGTAGGGTTTCCAGAGCTCAACTCCTCTCGTGTTCCACCAAAAATCCGAGAAGGCCCTACTTGGACGAGGTTGAACTTTAGCAGTAAGAACTCCCGAAGCGTTTGAGCTGGACTACCGCCGCTTGTTTATTTGTTAGCACACTGTACCTCTCCTCATCTTCGACAATGTGATGGATCGACTTGACTTCGTATAGCACGCGATCACTCGGCTCAAGGCATTGTGATCCAAACTCAATTTCTGTGGACCACTTCACAAATCCGTTGGGGATCCCTACATCAACATCCTTCAGATAGAGCATCGTGATTGTCAGTCACAGGGTGGTTGGAGTGTGGATCATCTTCAAATAAAAAAAGTCAACGCTGAGCAGAGTGAAGCGCCTTGCACCGTGAATTGAGAGCGTGCCCTCGCCCATCTTCTGGCTAATCCTTGGTGTAGCATGACTTGCGGAACATTCCAAGCAGTACTCGTAAAAATTAAGGGCACGAAGAGCTTTTCGCGAAATCGGTGTAATATCCATAACAAGTAGCGAGACAACGAGCTGGATGGTTGGCTGAAATTGCAAAGGTGGATGCTACGTCAACAAACATGTTGCGGATTTTTCGGAGTTCTCACAAAAATTTTCTAGCATAAATGTAATTTGTTGCAAGACTTATGGACCAACCTTATAGATCGCTGGTGGCTTGATTCTCTTGTTTGCTTTTTTAATCAAATAAAAACATCATGCTCATCCACCCATTCATATTCGCAAGAAGAACGCTACAGAAAGCGTAATTTGGAAGATTGCTATAAATTCGGGATGGTCCCTCACAATGATAGATCAGTACGGGGTTTATCTCCTAAAGCTAATTTCTCTGGAACATTTGTCGGGTCTTTCGTAAAATCTCAGCGCAAAACAAATTTTTCATGGATGTAAACAGCCGGCGCAAAGTATTTATTTTACAACACCTTCATGAGAAACGCAGGGTGAGGGAAAAGGACGACTTCCCGAGTTCTCTGAAAATGGTAGAAATCAGCCCTTGTTAACGAATTTGAGATGCTGAAGTCCTCAAGGCAAAGGCCACGATCAAACTTAAGAACCTGTTAAGTGGGTGGGGTCAATGGTGTTGGGCGGGGTCAGTGTTGCATCACAGGGCCTGAGGCATTGACAAATCATCCCGAAATTTGTAAATAGCGCCCCCACCCCCTAGCGCACTTGATTTTTTCTCGAAGTAACACTTGATTTGGATCAAAGATCCCGGACTTTACGTTCAAAAATATTGTAATATATTTAGCATATAGAAATGTGTTAGTGTATTGTTAAAAGCTGTCTAGACTCACTTGTGGGTACTTCTTGCTGTGTATGTATTCCTTCAGTGCTTTCGGGAAGAACCTCTCGTAACCCTCATTCACACTGTAAATCTTCCCTTTTTCTGGAATTTTCATTTTCGGGTGAGTCAAAATGAACTCTCCGATGCTCTGGAAGAGGCCAGTTGTGTCTCAACAATTTGAAAATATTTTTTAAAGCTTACTGGGTCAAGCATAAATCCGTTCACATGGCGCCCAGTACAAAGCACAACCATCGTGGCGGAGCCGTAGAGACAGTAGCCGGCTGCGACCATGGTCCTGAACTTGAATGTTCGAACTGTGGGAGCTGGATACTTACCGTAATTCTTTCATTTGAACGGGCCAATGTATTACACGCTCACGACAATTTGCTGTTTACTAGCCGGAAAGAAATTCGTAAATTTGCCCTCTACTTGAAACGGTACTATAAATGCCTCACACAAAATCTGCGGCTCACCTTCCCGACTGCAACAAGTCCTCATTCGTGGGTGGTCCATCGCTATGTTTCTTCCATATACCAAAAATAGTTCCTAGAAAACACGGAATATGATGAAATGATACAGGTTACTCGGAAGAGTGAAGAATTACCGATGGAAACCAAGCAGTCAATATTAGATGAGCCATCGAGTGGATCGAATGTGACAATATATTTTCCTTGCTTGGGAATTTCAACTTCGACCAGCTAAAAACAACACATAATTGCACCTCCAATGTCATTTGATCAATGAATTTTGTAGAAGCTTTATGGGAATCCTCACGTTCTCATTCTCTTCAGATACCATCGCGCAGCAGGTGTAGGAAGATCTGATCATATTTATCATGAGTTCATTGCTGAGGACATCTAGCTTTTTTACCTAAAAAGAAATCTCACTCTTTCACAACTTAGAGCTTCGAGATACTTTGAAGAAAGTTTTGAGCACAAAACCTCTTCTCCTTGAACGTTGGTATTACCAGCAATACCGTAAAGACGAGCCAAACCAGCTTTTCGTACGGAACTTGAGATGGCCTGAAGTTCATAAATTTACATTTTAACTATGACTTGGTGCGAATCTATAAATCAGTTCGTTGTGCCTCTTATGAGGGGCTAAACTATCACTGCACACAGAAGTAAATAGAAGTTGAGGGCGATGAGCAATGGTCATGGAAAGTGCGACCTTAGGTCCCAAAAAACGAAACAGGTCCAATCATGCACCATTGGAGGGAATTGCCGGATTACCCCCTACCCCTCCTACCACTCTTAAGGGTGTCTTCACAAAAGGGGGGGGGGGCTGCAGTACTCCTGCATCAGATAGTTCTCGTTCCCGCCTACTCCTCGTTTTCGAAAGCCGTCGTGCGGCGAGACAGAGAGGGCGGGGGGCGGAAGGGAAGGTTGTTTGAATTTTGTGGAACGATGTTCCCAACCACACCGCCGCTTTTCAAAAGTATCTCTTCCCACATATTCTAAAAACTTAGCACAATGCCTTTCCGCCGAATTCCGCCAAATATATTATTGTCCGAAAACCGCAAATTCGGTGCCACTCGATGGAGACTTCCCCCGGATGGGTGCATGGTTGATTTAATACGAACCACTAAGCTTACAGTGACTCCGGAATTCGGCTGTCGTTGAAAAATGGCTACTATAGGACATCTGTGATTCTCTGATGAAGCTACCCTGATTCCCATCAAGAATAACACTGAGCTAATCTTCAATATAGCCCTATGAAAAAGACGAACTTAAAGGTACCTATCGTGGTGCTAAGTTCTGGTGGTTGCGTTCCATAGCGTAGGAGAGAAGCTCAGCCTTCGGTAGGAAAGCAGTCCTAAAAAATATAACGACGCCTACCTTGAAAGCAGTCATCAGCGAAGTGAGAAGGTTGGTGAGATCTCCAGTAGCACTGGGGTGTTTCCGTTGCTCGTGCAACACAAACCTTTGCAAAGTCATGGCATCCGTTTCGATGCCGTACGTTGTGTTGCCGCTCATCTTCTGTTATTATGAAAATTATTTCCAAGGAAGAATCGACTTGAAAGCATAATTCGCGCTGAGGACGTAGACGAGTTTTTCCAGGGCGTCTACCAAGAGGCTGACCAATCAGAGACGCTCTGCCCACACGAGCACCTCAGTGGCTTGTCCCTTATTAACTCGTCCCAAAAATGCCCATTTGCAGCCTAAGTCTCAACACACCGATCACACTGTGCTATATTGGCACCCGATTGATCAGCAAGAATCAAGATATGATTGCGTACGTGGGTATACGAAATCACAAAATAATACAATTGGCATTGATAGCAACAAAGCAATCGTAATGTTAGTAATAAGATAACGAAAAAAGAAAATTGAAAAGAGACATCTAGTAAGACCATAGGACAAAAAGAGAGTGAAAAACCATCACCGTCAGAAATAAAGGCACATTTCGCGATAAGAAGCGAGGTAAATATGTGGTTCGAAAATGAAACTGTAGATGTTAATTGATTTATCGGTAGAAAAAAGGAAAGGAAACCATTGAAAATGCCCTGTATAAGACCTTTTTTTAGGCAAGAGGAGAGTTTGCGAGACAAACAGCTTGAGAAACACTGGGCGCCGGTGTGGTGGAGAGGGCATAGCGGGAAGAGCGAGACTGGAAATACCATAACGGGGGAGTATCTAGTTGCTTGTGGCGTCCATGGCTGCAAGTTCCGAGCCCCTTAAGCTCTCCACACCTTTTGAAGTAGCAAGAGAGGCTATACCCCTGCCGCTTTGAACCAGCCAACCTCATTCACGGAAAGGAGTGGTCCAATGATTTGAAGCGAACCTGGGAAAAAGTCTGTCTTCGAGGTAAAAAGTACAGTACGCACTAGTCTGGACGAGTGAGATGAATTACATATTTTCTGCAACATGCTATCAAATTAGACTACATCCTCAGGAACTGTAGGAGTAATGAGGCTAACAAGCAAGAGCTCACTGCAGGCTTGGCGATCCTCGTATTGCGTAGCATAGCGTACTGCTCACGATTACTTCATAGCTTCAAAAAGAGCTTGAGTGGTTAAAGTGAAGAAAAAAGGAGTGGTAGCAATAAAAAACTAGGTGAAAAAGTTGTGGAAAAGACCAGAAAGAGTATGCCTAATGGAGCTGAACTAATCAGTACGATATAAAAAACTTAAGTATAAGCTTCTGCGGACGCTTCTTTTAAGACTGCAATGGACATTGGTAAGGATTCTATTGCTTTTGAAAAATATACCAACTTCCTACGCAATAATGAAAAATCGAGCATAGAACCGCAAGGGCACCAGCAGGGTTTGAACGTGGGGTGTACTAAACGAGGGTGGGTGTCCTTGAAGGCAATTTAGTTGTTAGCGAGCTGCATACATTACTATGTCTAAATAAGAGTGATTCGATGTCTCTTAGCCTTCACTGATCGCGCCACGTATATTGCCTCCTTTGAGATTTAGGTTTTGAATAGACATTTGGTTTACCTTAAAATCTACACGGTACAAGCCTCGAGAGATGTACACGGGTAGGAGGGGATTCTGAGTCTCAACTGATACAAAATTCAATTAAGTTTGGAAAAACCCCATATCGGTAAGATTTCAGGTAAATGTGAGAGGTGAAGGTGATTCTTCCGCAACAAAAGTGCATTGCGAGTTTGTTCAAACATGCAATAACGAAATTAGTGCTAGTTCGAGGACTCTAAGACTTAGCTTTTCTGAAGGAGACTATGAATGGCGCCGGTAGAAAACATTCATCAGGAAATTATTCTTTTTTCTTCGCATTAAAGAAAACTCTCCATGTGATGTTCCGAATGCAATGTACTCGAATCGTACTTGCGCTTTACCAAGCTAACTTTGAAACCTTTCACTTTTTTTCAACTTTTTCTATCATTGATACCTTGAATTCTTTGTAAAGAGGTACCTTATGATCATCTATGGTGTTTCCAAACCGTCACTCATTGAGAGGTTAATTTAAATATTTCCAAGTGAAAACCGGTCAGGAGAACGTTTGGTTCGTGTTCCTTTTTTGTTAGAAAAGCAATAATTTACGATTTCGGAAACACTCTTTCAAGGAAGACGCAACATTCAAGTGCTGGCTAGACGAACTTGATTTCGTACCAAAGCTGTGGTACCAGGCATCATGGCAAGCACTACTGGTCTTAGCTTATATCGCCAATCCACTCAGTGTTCAACTTGTCTGATAGGATGGAGATCTTGAGCACAAACGTCCCCTTGACATCCCGAATCACAGCCTTGAAATACCTGGGACTGCGCACTATGACTTCTCTTCATTTTCGGAGAGATGTTAGACACATGGCGCACTCCGGATCTTTCCAACCGCTGGTCATTTTTGCCTCTCCTCCTCTTCTAGATGAATTGTACTTAAGTTCAGATTCAAAAGTTCAGATTCTAAGAAAGTTCATTGCTCACGATGTCGTGAGCAGGTTCATACTTCGTAACGACGGGAACTGTCCTTTTTCGAAGTGCAAAGGGTCTACTCAGAATTGGGTGCAGTTCAGCTACAAGGAAGTGCATTGATCGATAAGGAGCTGTTTTTTTGCTCGTGGCGCAAAAACTCATATGATGCCGAATGATATGCCGACAGTGCGATAGCACAAAACCTTGAGCGCAAAATTCAGGTCTTCTTCTTCACAGCTCCACCCTCTAAAACTGGACTCAGCAGTGGGCGCTGAGCATTCTCATGCCCTCGAAGAACCAACCGACTATCGCATCATCTAAACACACTTATAAGGCATCGGAAGCTTTTTTGCCTCTTCTCAATACAGCGAATTTCGCTCAGGCCATTACGGTCATCTAACCCTCCAAGGCCGGCTATAGGGGGGGGGGGCAGAATAATACTAGGATAAATCGCTGAAATTGTACATCGGCTGACTCTAGCAAGGCATTCATAGATCGAATCGCATTCAAATGCCACCACGACTCAAATGGAAGCAGAATGCATGGCGCATCTCAAAGAGGGAGTTATCAATGCGGAAGGCTTGAACTCATCACTTTGGATCAAGTAGTTTTTTAGGCTTTATTCTACCTGGATTTAAATCCACGTCCAATAAATAAACAAATAAATAGATAAATAGATGAATGAATAAATAAAGTAAGCCAAAAAATCATAATAAAATGCAACCTATTTGCTCAAGTCGCGAAAATTGAGACCTAGAATTGAGTGGTCTGACATGAGAGAGCAACGAATTTGTGATAAGCATAAAAGGACTTCAAGAACGAAGGCTAACATTATCGGAACAGCGAAGAAATGGGAACACAACAGACCGATTGGAAGCGAATAGATAATATCTGTACATGTCTGGTGGCAGATTACGTGGAATTGGCTCGATTATTCAATCGAGTTTTTTACTGTGACTACGAGTGACCGACATAGCGTTCAGTGTAAAGAAGCGCCGCTGTGCGCTCGATTTGAAAATGAGCAAACATTGTGATCAGCACGTCGAATTTATGGAGGATAAATTGCTGCAGTAAATAAATTTAGCCTCTATTTATGTCCCAGAGAAAAAAGCGGGTCCTGAACGAAGTCCTCGGAAAATTTCCAGAACAGTTTCTTCAAAATTCAACACAGCAGCTGCTAATGAGTGGCTAAGTCATAAATACTCTTGAGCAGTGGTCAAAACAGAGGTGGCAGGTCTCGAAAATCTTTGCGAAGTGATCTGAAACTGAACTGCTGAGATATTGTCGCTAGAGATCTTAGGAGATGCCAAAGTCTTTGGGGGAGTAGCAAGCTTCAGCACCTTATGATAAGACCCGTAAACAGTAGGTTTTTTTCAGGCCGAGTGCAGCAAGTCATTTTGTGATGGATTGGCACGACAGGAAGGGGCGAAGATCGTCGCAGAAAGCGAGCAGCAATGCACGTTTGGGGCCCGACGGGAACATGAACAGACTCCCACAATCGATGCTTGACCTTTTCGCGGAACGACGGGCGATCAAAGGGTGTGCATTTTAACGTACCAGTTTGAACAAATGTGATCGTACCGTAGGCAATGATAGTTCCTTCGTTGTAAGAGAATACCATAAAATACGCGAAAAAGATGGCGATGAAACGGCTGGTCATCTGGCATTATAAAAAATGGAAGCTGTCTAACAATGATGCATGCGTGATTAAAGAACGACCACCTCGTGGCGCCGAGTGTGTGTGAGAATTCTTCTTTACAACTTGCGCATGATTTCAGCTGATGCACTTTTTATGCACTTGAGAGACTCACTGTGTTCCTCAATACATCACTACGATGATAATTATAATATCAGTCCACGTGCATTACAAAAAATAAAGGTTGAAGCATTCCGCGCTAATCATACCCCTTTTTGGGATGCGCCACTCCTTCGAATTCACTCCAGAATTGTAATGGCTTTTTTTTATGAGATTTAGCTTATGCTTGCGGATGCCAACCCTCACAAATGGGTCTTTTCGTCCTCCTGGACAATTCTCGTATCAAGAGAAGAAATGGGAAGCTTCGTTGACCATCACGGCGTATGACCCAAGATTCGATCCTGGGCGTTGCGGTTGTAATCAGCGCCACTTGCTAATACACCACATCCGAACCAATAGATGCAATAGACCTGTAAAATATCAGGGTATCATTCTCTTTGATGAATCTGGTAACAATTACAACAAATCTTATAGATAAGAGCGCTCGCTAGATAAGAGCGATTAGTGCTACCGCTTACTGGTGATTTCAACGTCAGCGATGACGACGAGGTAGTTGAAAATATGGGTCGGGTACTTTACTATTTTTTCGTAGACGTTCATTGTGAAAAAAGCAAAAAGTAGAAAAAATATCTCAAGAAATATCTTTAAAAATGTTGATATGTAAAAAAAATACCGGAAAACGTGCCCTCTCGCAAATGCCAAACCGTTTTGATCTTAGAATAATGGTTTTCGTAAAGAAGGGATGCTTGGTTGGTATTGCTGGAAATGGAGCTAGACGCTGAATTTGATTTCCGGACACTAGCGCTGTGAGAGCGTCACATGCTAAAAGAAAGTACGGTTGT